GGCGCCACCCAATATCGATTTGTTCACAGTTGTTTGGCATGGTCCACGCTGTGCGTGAGGGGGCGTATTAGAATCCCACATTGTTTGGGAAAATATAAATGATCTACTTAATAAGGTGAGGGCAATCCTCCCCTAATAAGCCGGTTTTATTAGGTGGAGTTAGGCCCAATATTCTTAACAATTAGTCTGCAAGAGATCTTGTGCTTACTGCTTACTTTTTAGTACAGTTGAAAAGATAGGTACTGTATGAAATCATGAAAACTCTGCAATTGTGGATGAGTAATCTCCTTTATTATAATATTGCAGATAGATGGAAGAATGTCGTGAGTACACCAAGTATGGACGGGTTCGTGATGAAACCAATTCTGCTTTCGTTTCAGATCGCCGGTAAAATTCCTGTATCTGATTCAACGAGGCAAGAACTTTTGGAGATTGACTCGATTTCTTATAGATTGCGCAGGGAAATTGAGTTACTTGAGAGTTTAGATCGTATTTGTTGTAAAATATGTCAGGTAAAACAGTACTAAAGCAGTCTTCACTGTGTCCATTGACAATGTATATACACTTGTTTTTGCTTGTGTATGTTATTGAGTCTTCATTTAAAATACTATTAACTTTTCTTTTGTTTCCTTTCCTCATAGACTCTGTTTGCAAAGCGAAGTGATATTTTAGTGATGTCTACTGAGGGCCCACTCGGTGCATATGTTAATGCATATGGGTTTGTATATGAGATACTCACTCTCCGCAAAGCGCAGGGAATTGCAATCGTAGGAGTTCCAGTAAGGGACTACTGCTGGTTTCCTGGGTAAGTTTCTTTTTCTTCTGATCGAGATGTCCTACGAAAGGAACTCGTCGTAATAGTTTAAACAGAAAGTATTATTGATGCAGGTATGTATGGCAAGTTACTCAATGTATCACATGTGGATACTCAACGGGCTGGTTCTTCACGGCCTTGAAGAAGGAAATGAGACCCTTTACTTTTTGGGGTGTTACTATCTGACAAATTCTGGACGAATCGTGTTGAAACTCTTGGAGATATAACTGAATCGTGTAATTCCCGGTGCTTTCAATATATAGATACTATTTGATAGCATCTATATATAATTGTGTGATAGCTCTGGAGGGCAAGTATGAATAAAATGATGTAACATGGAAATATGTGGCGAACTTGTAGGCAAGACTGTATGATGCACTCTTTTCTTATTTCTATGTTGGAATATCATTACAGGCAAATTCCCGTGGTGCGAATTATAGTTTAGAAGAATAGATCTGGAGAACTTTTGATTGAAAATAGAAGCAAACTTATGCATCTTCTAGAAATTGCTCGGTTGAGACCTTGCTAGGTAGGTCACCAAACTATAACAAGAATTTCGGGTTTTCAAGGCCATGTATCGAAGTTAAGAAGCCAATTTATTACAAACAAACCGATCAACTGGACAAAAAATACAAGTTTCTCATTGCCTAAACTTGAAAGATATTGAAAGACCTTACCAAACAACAACAAAGAAAGAGCAACCGAGTTTATTACTAAAGACACTAAAATGATAAAGTTAAAAATCTGGGTTGATTAGCGATAGTTGCGGTAGACAGGAGTGTACATGCAACTCTCCGCATATTTAACGAGATCCTTGGGGCGAGGGAGTCGGGAAGCCAGACCTGGAAGGCACGTAACCATGTGAAGTTAGTGCTGCAACTATACAAAGTCGAAACACATTAGAGCCTAGTTGGGTGAATAAGGGACTTACCGAGTTCATATGACTTTGCAGCTACATTTGCTGCAATGTTGGCTGATATTTTTCTGATATTAGAGAATGGAGGATAGACAAGTCCCTTGGCATAGTTTTCCTCTGTCACTTCAGCCGCCAAAGCTTCCGCTACAATGAACACCAAAAGATCAAAATTATTTACTCCATATATAGTGGAAAAATAGACTAAGGCTTGACCATAATGCATGTTTCTTTCAACTTTCCTTTATGAAATCCCACACTAAAGTATACTCCTCGTTCTAGGGTGAGCTCCCGTCGGGGAGGTTTTCCAAAAAGAAAAGTTCACTGACCCAGAGAGTATATTTCTCTCTCGGGCAGCCTTCAGGCACCCTGGGACAAATTGGGTCACCAGGGGCCTGAAGGCGCCTTGCTCTCAATTCTAATGATTTATCAGTCACATGCATTTCCTTAAGTAGTTGTAAGTTATAGGAATGCTTACAGGCAGCCAAAAGCAAATCGTCGTGTACACGTATTGTACCAGACATGATCAAGCCCAAACCAAATCCCGGGAATATATAAGCATTATTAGCCTGCCAATATGTATCTAAATTAGAACAGTGAAAAAGCACAGATACAAGTGGTAGTTTTTTCAGGAATACACAAGAACCTGGCCGGGCACAAAGACTTTTCCATCATATTCAACAGGGTCAAATGGGCTTCCACTACAAAAGATAGCACGTCCCTGAAAATGATAGCGCGATAAGAGCCAATGAAATAGATGGCTGAAAATTCCTTATACGGGTACCCAATAGATCCATTTACCTCGCTCCATGTATAAGCCTCTTCAGCAGTACATTCTGATTGTGAGGTCGGGTTTGATAGAGCGAGAATGATTGGTTTCTGCATATGGGCCAACCGTCCATCAAAGGTCAGAGAGAATTTTATCAATATGGAAAAAGTTCACGCATTTAACGTTTGGCTAAAGTTTAAATATATGGAAAAAGTTCACGCATTTACTTATAAGTAAACTTTTTAAGCTTAGCAAAACATGATCTTCGTACACATCCACCCAGAGATGTGTGTGTTTGGAGGCAGTGGGGAGAAGAAGAGAGGATAGAGAGAGAGACCTCATTGAAGGATGCCATGGCCTCTACGACTTCCTTAGTAAATGTTCGTCCAACACCTGAAGTTCCTATCAGAACGGTTGGTTTTATTGCCTGAAATCCAAAGAAATGTAAGATAACAAGAAAATATGCAAGCCAGAATTCTGAAAAACAACGTAAAATCCCTAGTGAGAACATGAATGTCCCACCTGAACTGCGTTTAACAGTTCCTTAACAGGTTCGTGCTCATGAGCCCAAGGTTGTTTGAAATGTTGAAGGGACTCTTTACGAGAACTAACAACCAATCCCTATTACAAAGTGAACTTGTGAGTAAAGAATGCATTCTAGATAGAAACTTGATTAAATTATACTAGTATGAAATAAGAGGAAAATGAAATAGATGATGGACACAAGTTAGTACCCTAGAGTCCACGAGCCAAACTTTTTTTCGGGTTTCTTCAATTGGAGCATCTGTCTGCAAATGCAAGTTGAAAATTTGATCAGAAAGATTTACTGAGGAAAATAATCAAAGGCAGACAGCAAAATAAGTTAATACCTTTTTGGATATCTCAAGAGCTATAAGCTCAGCTATACCCGTCCCAGCCTTCAAAAAACCAAGAACTGAAGTCAGAAAACGAGCAGAAATCGAAATAATGGATGCACGGTGATATTAACAAAAAGCATAAGCTGTGCATTCATATTTCATACTTAGGTGAATTCTGATACAACGTGTTAGAAAACGGGAACCATTAAAAACAATTTAAGCTGAAGGATATTCTTATTGGGGGGGGGTTGTGGACAGTAAGTATTAATGGGAATTAACCTCTCCAGCACCCAGGAACAAGAAAGTATGATCGGCTAAAGTCCCACCCACTACTTTCAAAGCTGCAATAAGTCCAGCTAGAACCACTGAAGCTGTACCCTGTGATGAAACAAGAAAACTACGAAGGTCTACAAAAGAGAACGAAAAAAATTCTCTACCAGATAACACTTCTAATAAATTTACCTGAATATCATCATTGAACACAAGATGAGTTGTGCGGTATTTAGCAAGCAGCTCAAAGGCATTGTGGTTTGCGAAATCTTCGAACTAGAAAAGTATGACAAAATTTCAGCTTAAACACAAATTCCTGTATGCAAAAAATTCCTTATACCTGTACTAGGATTTTCTCCCCGTAGTTCTGCTTAACTGCAGACATGAACTCTTCCAGAAGCTCAGCATATTCCTGTATTAAAAACAGAAAAGTTGAAAACCATGTCAAACAAGAAGAAACGAAGTTAATTTGGGAAATATTTTGTAATTGATTTCATAATCAATGCATAAGTAAATTACGAGACCTCGCCAGTTGCTCTGTTTTGCCTCAACCCAATGTAGAACTCATCGTCCAATAACTTCTTATTATTTGTCCCAACGTCGATGGTTATCGGTAGGCACTATCAAAGGTAAATGTAGAAAGTGAATTTCTGCAACCAGATAGCTAATTATTTGACCGATTACTCTAAAATGAAACTTCAACACAATTAGCTTAGATATTAAATTTCCACAGTTAACTGTTACAGCATGTTTAGTAGGGAGAATTGAACGGCACTGGACAAAAAAGAGCTAAAATCTTGTTATTATAGTCCAATCCACTGAACTAAATTTTCAAATAAAGGGTGTTCACCATATTGGCAAGTGTATTTACTACCTTGTATGGCATAAATAGAAGAGACTGTCCATTAAAATTTTCAAAAAATATCAAAATGTTCTAAGAAGAACAGGGCGGTGACAGGTGAGTAATTTCTAACTAATGTTATTATCATGGAATCTTGAAGAACTAGTGCTGATATGTATCATGAGTCGGATCTTAAGCCAAAACTCTGTAACAGTTATGAAGAGCTATCACTTCATGTAGCATTAAAAATATTTGTATGAACAATCAAGAAAAGGAACGATAGTAAATATAGGAAATTAAGAACAATAATCAAAGAGAAAAACAGAGTTATTTTATGCTTACAACTGAGGGACGAACACCTCCAAGAGCTGTATATAGAGAAAGTTTTCCAACAGGAATTCCCATACCCTGCAACATTTTTGAATAATTTTCGGTAAGTAACATTAAACCTTGTGCACACGCACGAGTCTCCATTTTTCAAGTTAAATTTCATGATCAGTGCATTCATATAATATGAACTAATGAAATTTACCTGACAGCCGAGATCCCCGAGCCCTAAAATGCGCTCGCCATCAGTTACAACTATAACTTGAATAGTCTTTTCGGGCCAATTCTTTAGAACTTCAAGAATCCTTCCTCTAAAATAGTCATATCACTTGACATCAGATAACTAGTAGAAAACTTTGATCCACTAACAACCCTACTTCAATTATAGGCAGATAAAATATTTCGGCTCAACTTCATAGTAGAGTTGTAAGTAGTAACTCATCAGAGAAAAGAAAGGGAAGCTAAGAGTACTTCTCTTTTAAGCTGATATAAAGACCCTGAGGGCGCCTGAAAATGCTTCCATACTTCTGGCAAGCCTCACCAACTGTCGGAGTATAGACAACTGGTAGCAGTTCTTCGACATTATCAATCAGAAGCTTATAGAAGAGCCTTTCATTTCTCTCCTGCAAGTTTAAGAAATAAAATTAGCATGTGAAAAGTAATTTGATCTCACACATTATTCACCATCATCAGTTATGGAACAAGATACATGGTTAAGAGTAATCAAAGTATCAAATTTTTATCCATCTAAACAACAGGCTACTAAGCAGTCGTACTCTGAACTTCTGTGAACGCATCTACTAATTGCACTTATACAGGAGGTATCCTCATTTCAGAAAATGGAGGCCACCATATAACAAGAGACCTCACTTTAGATTACTGGAAGTGTTCTGTATATAGTGGCAAATAATTTTAGTAGAAACGAGTAGGAAAGAGCGGCCAAATAAATAACCTAGCTCTGTATGCACGTGGTCACAAACCATGTAGGATTTTTATAACAAAATTGATATCAAAACTAATATAAGAGTGCACAAGTGATGGTAGTGGGAATTTTTGAAGGGGTGGATTTACCTGAAGGTCCATCATGGCCATATATCTTTGCAATGGGAGTGTAAATTGGCGCAGATTGTGCATCAATCTCTTCTCCTGTAATCAAAATCGAACAGGGGTGATAAGAAGTGTCTATTTTGTATAATAAAAAATAATAGGCTGCATGATCGATCTCTATGGAAAAGCCTATCTGGTGACCTGAAGTTCTTGAGTGAAAACGGCCGGGGGAAGAAGGCCAGTCAAGTAGTGAGCATCTCTTTCCTTGTCAGTGAAGGCCAGTCCTTTGTTGTGATGTGGATCACGCAACAACGTATAGCCGCTGAATAGAAATATAAACACTGTAAATCAGTTTCTTTGGCTAGAATATTCAACTCAGCAATTCCTTGGATTCTTTTTTAATGATTATAATCACCAATATAAACAAAATATGATTATACATTAAATCGAACAAGATGACGAGTTGCGACTTCTGTTGCTATAACAAGAAATAAATCTTGTAAAGAAAGAGAGAGCATAGATGAATCATAGTATCTCAACACAACAGGCACAGTTCTTCATATAATCAAATCAGAGCAATAAACAGAACTAAATCAAATTATGCAAAGAAAATAAACGGAAATCACACAACTTGGAATTTATTCTATTAGATCAATTGCTCAGAAGAATACAAAATGAAACATCACATTTCAGTCATCTAATCAAGAAAATAAGTCAATCATCACGCATATTTTCAAATAAAATCACATAATGGAGCATTTGATTTTTTAGATCACCTAGCAACAGAAACAGTCCATGGGGTGATAAGCTGATCTTCAGAGGCTCTATCCTCACCATACACATCCTCAACACCACCACCTACACCAGCTTTATCTTCCATGTCAAGAACTGATTCACCAGTCATTTCCTTAAATGTACTCTCCATTGATGAAATTTTCTTTCTCTCTCCTTTCTTGTACGCAGAAAAAGCTCGTCTCTGCCAATGAAACAAACTGAAACACAAACAAGAAAAAATAACAACAGCACACAAAATTAAAAGTTCTTGAAAAGACATAAAGATTGTTGTGAGTTCTCTTGTTCTTGATTTCAAGAACTCAGAACACGAAAATAACAACATCCCACGGGACAAAATGAAGTTTCTTTTGTTTTCTTGTTATTTATCAAGAATCCAGACAACCCACCTAGCCCAACAAACTGGGAAAAGAATCAGCTTTTTCAATTCAAATATTTAACAAGAATGTGAAAGTGAAAAAATTATAGTGTGCATTGCGTAAGAATAGAGAGAGCAAAAGTGTGAAGAATACCAGAAAATTGTCTCTGTTGAATGGGATCATAATGCTTTACATGTGGAGATTACAACGTATATAAGTAAGTAATATGTGTCTCCGTAAATGTAGAGAGAGAGAGTAGGAGATTTGCGCGTTTTAGAGAGAAGAAAAAAAGGTAGTTGGAATTTACCAAATTGGGAGGCAAAGAAAAAGAATAAATAAAGGTTGAAGCTTTCTTTTCTGCCACTTTCTTCTCTCCCTGTTAATCTGTTATATCCATAAAAGCTTTGGCCGCGTGTGAGACACGCTGGCATACAAATTACTTTTCTTTTTTCTATTTTTTTCTTTTTTATAAAAAAAATTAGGGCCCAACCTTCAAAGTATATCTACCAAAATGTTTAAGAATTAATCTACTTTATCAGAACAAATTGTTCAGTGCCAGAAGATGAGTTGTAGGGAAATGATTGGAAAAAAAAATTATTTGTGTTTTTAAACTGTTCAAAATATCATATAACATTATGTAAATTTTGATGTATATATAGCAAGGTTGAATGTTTAACAGCATCTTCACTCGATTTTATAATTTTTATGAAGGGTTAAAATCACTATCAAGTATCAACCACTCAATCCTAGCAAAATTTCATATCAATTGCCAAATTTTATTTTTTCCATATTAATAAATCGTCAAAGGAATGCTATGTCGGCTTCACTTTTTTCTCCTCAAAAGTTACTTTTCAAAATCAAACGGTAACTTGAAATATATATTTCGTAGGACCCACAAATACTGCATATTTATTCACCACTCGTTTCTTGAGAAGTAAAATTTTAGTGAAAAAAAATAGAAACACAAATTGTGGCTATTTTTCTTTTCCCAATAGGACGGACCGGGTGTCTCTAAATAAAAAAATAAAAATAAAAAGGTCGGATACATAAAATAAAATGATTACATATTTAAAATTGCTTGTTTCAAAAGAGAAATCAATGTCAACTTTTTAGCATTTTCTTTATGCGGCGGCGTCTATAAGCCACGTCTTTTGACCTTTTTCTTTTTGTTTTATTTTTATTTTTCCTAATGCAATTTTTTAAATTTTTTAGAAAGAAATAAAAATCTAGAAAACAGGTCGATGATCTTTCGAGACGAACAAAATTCATCTCGTTAGTTCTATTTTTTTGTTTGGTCGGATATCATCACGTTCAAAACATGCAGTATAGGCTTTTTGTTTTCGACTAGGGCTATTTGTTGATTTTTTTAATTCAAAGAAAACTCATTCACTAAACCATTAATATGATGGACCAAGTAAACCGCACAATTAGTTGGACTACCATTTTGCAATGAAATTGAATTTATAACCATTAATAAGTGACTTATTTTTTTAAAATATTTCAATTATCATTGTACTTTCTAAAATATTTTTCAATTATCATTGAACTTTAGAAACTCTTCGAATTGTTACCAAACTTTTCAAATTATCTTTCAAATGCCATTGAACCTTTTCAAATGTTTCCTAGATGCCATTAAACTTATCGTAATATTATACATCCCTCACTCGTCGTTTTAAAAGTGAATGGAATAGATGACATGATAGATAAAACGAAGAATGGGATGATATTTTGATAAATTCATCTAGTCCATTAACATTTAAATGATGAGTGACAGGGTCACAAATGTGATCATATTTTCTTTGGGAATTGGTAATTTTTATTTTCCAGATAATTCACTCTCTCTTTATCTCTCATCTATTAATTCTCTCATTTACCTGTCAATAAAAAAAAATGGACAAGTACAATAATTTTTAGATTGAAAATTAAATCAATCAAAGACATTCAATTAATAATTTCCATAACAAATTCCATGCAATTGAATTGTCTAAAATTCATTTTCTTTTTATACAAATTCTATATTTGTAATCAAACGCACGTTCAAATTATGAAAAAGTGAAATTAACAAAGTGAAAAAAAGTCACTTATTTTTCTTTTCTTTTCTTTTTTATTTTTTTGGCAGCCTTTTTTTTTTTCAGCATTGCATTCACATTTGGCAGTCAGGTCAAGCCAGCTGTGCAGATTTCAAAATTTTGAATTGACTTTTTGAGTATATACTTGATCATTGACACCCCCAAGTCAATTTTCGACCTCAAATATTTTACTTATGTAATCTTGAGGTCAACCACCTTAATCCTTGTCCTGTTTGGTGATCATTTTTTTCAAAAAAAATACTGTTTTATATGTGTGTGTGTGAGAGAGAGAGATTAAAAACTATGTGATTAAAAAAGCATTATTTCAAAAAATATGTGATTAAAAATTAAGAAAAAAATATGAATATCATAAAATTTATTGTTGAAAATGATTTTTACAAAATCACCCTCAAACAAACTCTTAGTAGCTGGATGTGAAAATTTAAGCACTTTATTAGTTGGATCAGACAATTGAAATGCCTTTTGTTTAAACTAGCAGTTTAAAGCGACATCGATTAGCTTTTTGGTGCAAATGAACACAAAGAAGAATCGAATTAAGATATGTACATTTGATTAAGTTTAAAACGTTTACTTATAAGTAAACTAAAGGTACATAAATGATTTTCAAAATAAAAAAACTACTCATTTTGTCTGTAACATAAACTTTTTTTCCTTAAAAAGTAAAAATAAAAAAGTATCTTACTTAAACACATTAGAAACAAAAAATTACTTACTCATCATGCTCGTCATTTTAATCCATATCATTTACTTTAAATTAAAAATCAAAGTTACATTCAAAACATATGTAGAAATGAAAAAACTTAAAACAAAAGTTTTTTTTTTTCTTTTTGAACGGAATTAATACAAATGGAGAAATGAAAATTCTCCCTTTAAATGTATCGATATGATTCATCTCTTTATATATTTATAATTGTTTGATCCACATTATTTTACAAATTAATGTAATATGTCATCGAAATGTTAATAATTATTATGCAATTGTTTGTCTAATTTGAAAAATTCAATTTTTTATTTAAATTTTTGTACTTTGAAAGAGAAATCAATTGTCAACATTTTAGTTTTTACACGTTATTGCTTAGACATATGAACATATGATGGTGACCTTTTTTTAGCATTTTCTTCATCCGGTGTCTATAAGCCACGTCTCCTACCTAACATTTTTTTTTAATACTTTTTCTAGTGTAACAGTTTTCTTTTTTTCAATAAAAGAAATTCTGGAAAAATGGGATGAGAGTTTATCAAGCTTACAGCAAATTCATCGTGTTATTTGATATTCGTGTTCGTTCAGATATCATTACATACAAAACACGTGTAGAGCATATGTCCTTTTTCGACTATGATTATCCGTTGAATATGTAGTTTAAAGGAAATCATTGATTAAACTATTAAAGAAAATTAGGTAGAAGGGTAATTTTTTTTTTTTTCCCAATTATTTGGTGTGCAGCATTGCTTTCATATTTGGCAGTCAGGTCAAGCCAACTGCGTAAGGTTCAAAAAGTTTTCATTTTTGGGCATAGACTTGGTCATTGAGACCCCTAAATCAATTTTGGACTTGAAAATCTGCTTAAAATTAATTAAATAAACGTAATTTTTAAGGCCGTAAACAAAGAATTTTTTTTTTGAAGGTCAACTACTTTATTAGTCAAACCACAAAATTGAAATACCTTTTTCTCCATTAATATTGAATAATATTGAGATGAATTATAAGGTTAAAGACTTTATTATTTAGACCACAAACTTGTGATTTTCATGGTGAAGATATAGAAAGATCTTAAAGGGACATATTATGATACTATTTTAGCTGGACAAGCACAAGAACATTTACTCGAGATATTCTAAATCCGGATCGAAAATTAAGAAAACATTTTTCAAACGAAAATCTCGACTACTCTCAATATTATCTTGAAAATTAAATAAATAATTTAATAAGCGCCGCTCTCTCTCCTCTTGATAAGAAGATGTAATTGCCCATCTAAGGATGTTGGAGGGTGATGTTTTGTTCATGAAAAGAAGAATGTACAATCATGTTTCAAGAGACATGGCTGCCTCGAAAATCAGGACGTTCGAGTCAAAACTCTTTGATGAACTTTGAATGTCAAGGAGCTGGAGATTTTTATTTGGAATATGGTGCAATATTTCAAAGCCGCACATGTTCCTGAAAAAGATTTCGCGTTGACAGTGCGAGTGTTTATCATTTCAGGGTTGCAAATTGTTGTAGGATTTATGCTCCACGTACAGGAGCATAAATCTTACAGGGGCTTACAGGCTCCTCATTGTAGAGGGGCCCCATTGTATTAAAAAAATATGGACCCCACCTGAATGTGAGTAGCCTGGCAGACTTGTGAAATCCAGCTCCTATACGTGTAGCATGCCTCTTGTAGTAGAGGACCCGAACTACAAGATGATGAAATTGTGGGCAAACCAAAGTGTGACTTGGAAAACTTTGTAAAAAGAGTTGAAGCATTTAGTTTTTAACTTGCAATGCTGCGTAGATAGCGAGGGAATCATTGAGAAATATGAAGAGCAAGACTTACCTTCAACAATTGTTGCGCCTGATGGTTTGGTATTATGAAGATTGGGCACTGATTCCTCGTCCACAAAGAAGCATCACGATGGCGAAAAAATGGAGATTTGATATTTTATTATAACATTTTTATTTAATG